AGTCGACAAACCCAGTAGAAACAGGCTCCAGCTCCTGCAGTTCAACAACCTCCAGTATCTTACATTTTTCTGTTACATACATGTTCTGCTTCCAGTTTCATACTGATGCTGCTGTTGTGTTGTTCAGGTGGAGTCTGAGACGGCCGTGTCGGAGCTGAAGCTCAGTAACACCACGGGTCGCCTGGTGCAGCTGGAGCGGGAGGTTGGCCTGCTGAGACAGAACCACCTGGAGGTGAACCGGCTGGTGCAGACGGCCGACTGGCTCACCGACCAGGCCCGACTGGACGCAGAGGAGGCGCAGCAGGTCGCCTTATTCGCCTTGAACTTTGTGAAGGAGCTGACATTTTCATTTTGGCTCATTTTCCACAGTGCTGTCATCAGTGATATTTGTGCTTCTGTCATGCAGGAGTTTGACGGGGAGGTGAAGGATAAATTCGAGGCGGTGGAGGACGAGGTGGAGGATAAAGGGGAGTCGGTGCTGCAGGCGAGAAGGAAAGCTGATGAGCTGCAGCAGGAGGCCAAAGAGCTGCTCGCCCAGAGCAGCAGCAAGCTGCAGAGACTCGGAGGTGACCGTTTTTAATGCACGTACTTTTTTCACGGTGATGTAGGACAACTGTTGATCATTGCAGTTTTTTTTTTGTACTTCCTTCTTGCATTTCTGAAAATTAAGAGGTGTTGAATTAAAGGGAAAAAGAGAGGAGCTTGTATGCTCCCAAAAGTTGACTAATGCAGTGTTTTAACCCTCAAGAATCTTGGTGAGCACACACACACTTCACCACTAGATATGGTGACGGTCATAAAAAAGAAAATAAATAATCCAGCTTGGCAGGAACTTTGTCTTTGCCACTCCTATAGAGACAATTCACCCTCAAATTAGTTTGAAAGGCATGATGTCTTTTTTAACAATCGCTAAAATGACACCGTTTATCAGAACCAGAAACTGTGAGAACAGACAGATCTATTGGGTTTTCTACTTTACGACAGTCCTTGAACTGCTCATCTGTGGTGTGCACTTCCTTTGGTAAAACTTTCAAAATCTAAGCTTAAAATCACGATATTGGATCAAATTCACTTCATTGTACATGTCTCATTAAAAAAAAAAATTAGACCACAAAAAAATGAACAAAGTGACAAAAAAGTCTCCACTCTGCAGCACAACAGTGAAGCGATTCGTGACTCAACTGCGACCAACAGTTGTGACAAAAATTCAGGGCCTGGTCAGCTAAACTGGGTTGAACTGCAGGCTGTGTTTACAAAGAGCAGAAAGGAGACGAGTAGGAAACAAATTAAAAACGTAAACGGTAAAATATTTATAATATGCAGTCACCTCTTTTTTCCAGTAACACCTGAATGTTGGACGTTTTATTCCAATTTTTTTCAATTTTTGTAAAATAAATCAGTGAAAAAATCCAACTTTTTTTTCTTCTTTCTTTGATATAATTTCTATCACTATAATGATGCCATGCTGCACAGACAACATGTGTGAGTTCTCTCTGCTTGTATCCATGGTTTTGTCTCCATAGGACTTTATAAAACAGGTCCACAGTAAAAAAAAATGTGTGACAGGAGCAAAAAAAATGCCCAGAAACTGCTCTGCTTTCAGACAGTTAGGAGTATAAACAATAAAGTATAAAACATGCATCACACATCATCAACAATACATGAACAAATAGCCCTCATTCAAGCTGCCTTCTGTCTGTTTTCAGAGTTGGAGATCTCCTATGAAGCCAACCAGCGCATCCTGGAGGCCAAAGCTGCAGAGCTGGCCGACCTGGAGCGAACCGCCCGCCGCATCCTGGACGAGATCAGCCACAAAGTGACGCTGTACAGCACCTGTCTGTGATGAAAGCTTCACTGGAGGGACTTGAGTGGTGCCAAATGTTTCCGAAGCGTCCGAACACACTGCTCCCGTTTATAGCTGTTAAAACACTGTAATATATTTGACGCTGTCACTGCCTCAAAGTGTTTTTAACAATGAAAACAAGCCTTTAAGCTGCCAAAAACCAATAAAGTATTGAAGCAATGAGTCCCAAAGGAACCACTAGAAGCCAATGTGACCTCAAAAGCAAGAGTGTGTGGAGAAATGGAACAATTCATCTGCATAAGTTACTACAATCTGTGTTTAATTGTGTGACTGCACTTATGTGAATGAAATATTAAAGTTTTATACGTACTTAATAGGCCCAAAGATATCACATGTGAATGGTGCTACAGACAAATAATAAAGTTTTATTATAAAATAATAAGTTACTGAAGCATCTCAGCTGGTGTCTCTTTTGTTTGTGTTGTTGTTTGGACACATTTCCTCACGGTTTATGAGCCACATGTGCATAAAACAATATATTTTTAAATATCAGTATGAATTATTTATATTAATGTTACATGTCAGCTGTTTTTTTTCTGGTTTTCTTCCCTCAGTGGGTAAAATTAGGCAATACTGAATGTAAAAAGTTTTAACAGCTCTCATGTGATTATAAGGAATCTGTTTGGTTTGCTAGAGGGTCAGTACAACCTCAACTTCTACACAAAACATATTTGGGCCACGAGGAGTCAAACTATTCCTCCGTCACGTTTCACTCTGTGTGCTTTCCCAGATCATTTGGGAGTGTTGGTAGACGATGGTAGAAGGAAGCTGAAGAACTCACAGATCCAAGGTTGCTGCTCTTCCTCCCTCATGTCTCTGCTGATGGGAGGACAGATGGAGCACAAAGTTCTCATCTCTGTTTAGAATTAGACTGTTTACTAAGTTTATCTGGTGTTATTTTTGCCCTGTAATGATCATTCTTTGCAGTTACCTTATTTATTAATGTGGTATCAGTGGCATCACTCTCATTCTGTTTGTCTCAATACTTTTCTTTTCCAGCGAGTGGCTGTAGGTCTAACAGTCATTGTTGTTGGTCACTTACTCTTATTTGTTTATGCAGGAAAGACTTTCCTTTAAACATACACCAAGAGAACTTAGATACAATATAATAAACTTAATATAACACTCAAAAACAATTTTGGAGAAGTTACTGTTATGTTTTTTAATTGCTGATAAAGCTCATGAAATAATTACAATCTAAATTACATTAGATTTCATTTATATTTTGCCGTTTTACCATTTAAATAACTCCAAACTGAGACACGTCAAAACTGTTGCTTTGATTACAGTCAAAGGGGAAACGGCTAATTTCGAGACACAGCTCTCCAGCTAAAGTTAGCAACATTAGCCTAGGCTACACGGCTAGTTAGTTTTTAGCAAAACTAATTTCTTTGGCGGTGTTTTTTTCCCATAATTATTAGATTGTTTCTTTATGTTATTTTAGTCGTACGAGTAACCTGATACAAACATGTCAGGGTGTCAAAAAACAATTAAAAGATTAGTCTGGGGGTCAAGAGGACAAATTAGCTTTAGCTAATTAGCTAGTGATAGCTTTAGCTAGCTAAAGCATAAACTTAAAACCATAATCTGCTAAACCAGATGATGAGTCTAACTCAAATACACAGTGGGCCAGACTAGAAATTTGTTAAAAAAATTGACCACAATCGTGCATGTGTTCCTTTCTCTCCAGAGATATAATTAACTTTTCACATAGAGACAAAGTTGGGGGTGTAGTTTTGACACAGGCTTTGTGTAATTGGCAATCACAGTTTGAAAACGTGCTGCTAAAGCTTTTTTGATCCTTCGATGTCATCTCTTTCTATCATTGTGAAGCAGAATTCACCAAGCGTTGGATTGTTCACCCACTAATAGGGAACGTGAGCTGGGATTAGACCGTCGTGAGACAGGTTAGTTTTACCCTACTGATGATGTGTTGTTGCAATAGTAATCCTGCTTTTTTTTTTTAAATATAGCAATTTTTATTGTGCGTTTGTTTTGTGACATTTGTTGTTGGAGACTAAACTTCTCATACTGATGATTCATCCATGCTAACATGTTTGGTTGCAGCAAACTAGGAAACTGCTGTTTTAATACTTATAAATTAAGACTTACCTATTAAAACATTTGTCTGTATTATCCATGCTACTGAATCCAGCAGCAATCCAGTGACAACCAAAAAGTCCACAACAAAAGAAAACCATATTAAAAAATAAGCTTGAATGAAAATGACAAACTGCAAACATGAACTGAGAACATATTTTATTTGAGCTATTTAGCATTCAGAAGAATATCTGTTCCCGTTAAAATAGATCATCCTCCATGAAATAAAAGTCAACATCCATAGAAAGATGAAAACACTACAAGACAGGCTCAACTCATACAGCACGTACAACAGACAAAATGTCAATTCTGCAGCTGTTCACTACGAGGTTTGTCAAACGACCGCCTGTACACTATTTCTAGAATTACTATATGGAGCTATAAGTTCTCAGAATCTGAGACAATACAGACAATGAAAGTCCACAGGACTGTTTCCAAACCTTCAACTTACTCTGGGAAAGTGGCAAACTGTGTGATGTGATGGCTGTGTCATGATGTGGCACTTCAAGCAGCACAGCGATAGCAGCATTCTCCGTTTTTATTAGCACAGTAGTTGGACAGATATGGGACTGGAAAGGCCAAACTTAAAAACATCAGTGTTCATGTAAAGCTGCAGATTTCTTTACATTTGAAATGTAAACAAATCCCAATTGTTCATTATAGTCTTGTTCAAAACTGGATTCTTGGGGGCAAAACTAGAATCAAAAACCAAATTTTCACCTTTATGGGGCAACTAAAAGTTACTGAAATCAAATCGTTGAATATCAGCAGCTCTATAAGGCAAAGTGAGGCCGTTTAACACCCTGACGCCCACAACACACAGGAATGATCTGTTCTTATACATCTGGTGTAAAAAATACATGATCAGAGAGGAACCCTCACGTATGAAGTCGAAGACCCCGACAATCTTAAATCTAAACCAGACCCCATGTACAGATTGAAGCTCCAGTAAAGGTGCTTTTAGTCTGTAACTCACAGAGTACAGAGTGGCGACAGATGTTAGAGCCGATACAAACCTCTGTTTTGGCATTTAGTCTCTGCTGCGGGGGTTATGAGGTGGCGGAGCTCCTTCCATGGGGGCCGAGCTGGGAACTGAGAGCAGCTGGCCGGCGTGCATTCGCTCATTGACGCGCAGCTGGCAGCCGTCCTGCAGCATGCGCAGAGCTATCCTGGCAATGTTGCGCGAGTCGTCCAGCCCGGAGTGAGGACGACCTTCATACTTGAGGCCGAGCTTCTCCAGCATCGTGCTCAGCTTCGTCTGTGTGCGAGGCACCTGGAGGAAGGAGACAAACAACAGGGGGTTTGCTGTTGTATCAAACAGGAGACCCTTTATGTCCAGAACCAGTAACAGTGGCTGCACTGCAGACACAAGAGACAGTTTCAAAGTGTTTGTACTCTGAAGCAGTTAATGCCAAGCTCACAACAGAAAATCCTCAGATCTGAACCAACTTGCTCTGAACACACAACACATGCTGAATCTTGTTGAGTTTGTGGTGCTCACACAAGTAAAGAAGTCATTTTATTCTCTGTGAAGACTAAAGCCGACACTGTGAGGAAGCAAATCAAAGCAAAGCTCTGACTGGTGGTCACTCTGCTGTGCTCAGGGCCAAACAACACCCGAGGAATAACCAAGAAAATCACACTGCGGTTATTTTTGAGAGATACTGTGATCGCAATACGAGTTGTGATTTTAGTGGAAATTATATATTGTTTGTTTCTTTTCCACTTAAACATATACAACCATGAAGATGTGATTTCTGCTGCAGTTCATACCAAACAGGCCCTTATGTCTGGAAAACATGGTTTATAGGTCGGAGCATCTCTGCAGTAGCACAGATGCTTTTCTAACCTAGAAAAATGGATGTTGAGACGCATTCTACCTTTAAAAAAAAAAAAAGCATGGATACTGGATACTGCATTTAGTCGTATTAAAACTGAGCACAAACCTGCTTTATTTTGGCTCAAATCAAGAAGTCATCATCAGCATCCAGTTTCTGTTGAACTGCTCTCTATTTGGGAAATTAATTACTCAAACTCTGAAATTATACCAGAGTCATTTACATGAAGTGGATCAGCTGTTTATATGTTTATATTACTTATTAGTGGGCAAATTTGGTTTTGTTTAGTCATTTTCTGCACGCCTGAGGGCCAACGAATGTAATCCATCTTCTAAAGCTGCAGCATTGCTGCGCTTCAATGGCAGGAGTAACAGGTCACACGAGACACAATGAAAACAGGGACCCATTCATAAAAAAATACTGCCCCACAGCACTAATAGTGGTCAAAAACCCCATAGGATACATTTACATTTAGCAGAGGTCTGATTATACTCGTTACTCTGCATTTAAATTTAAAGATATTCTTCAGTTGCAAAGCTGGACGACGTACCTTGTAGAAGTTCCCGTATGATTTCCTGATGTTTATCCACTTCTTCGCAAATTGAGGATATCTGATGCGGCTGATCCGACACTGGATGTTGAGGAACTTGCTCATATCCCACGCCCTGCAGAAGGCGTTCAACAAAAAGTTGTGTCACGAGAATGAGAAAAGAAACACATAAATTCTGCAGCAGTATTAGAACAAAACCTACCCGTCAGTCAGAATGGCGTATTTGTATTTTGTTCCAAGTTCCCGCTCCTGAAGCCACGCCACGACTCGCTGCATCACTGCTGGGAATGGGTCTGCTTCGTCCACCATTTTCTACAGGAAAACAACAAACAACATGTTATTCCTGTAAACAAAAAGTCTACTTAAATTATCAAGGCGGCTGAGCTCAGCTAACCTGAGTTATTCCCGTTAACTTCACACAGAAGTCTGAAAGCTTCGGGTTCAGTTCTGGTTTCACATATTCCTGAAAGGAGTCCACCTGCACAGAAAATGAGACAAACATATTTAAGACGGGAAAATCTATAAAACAAAGATAAACGCTGCCCTAAACCCAAACTCCACTCACGATCTCTAAGTTGTGCGTGTTGATGAGGACCATGGGGAACTCGATGATCTCATGGAGGAAGTCTGAGGGATTATCTTCTTCACATGTGGCTTCAAAGTCCACCACACAGATGTAGTCGTAGTAGGTGTCAGTGGGGCCTCCCTCTGCTGCAGTCTGCATCAGCTTCTGCTTCTTATAGTGGCTCTTCAGCCTCTTCTTCATCACATCCTTCACTCCTCTTCACGTACAAAGAGATAAAGATGTAGAAAATACACTTTCTGAGTTGTAAAGCACTTTTCAAGACATTTATCACCTTAAGTTGAGATTTTGGCATACATACATACATACATTTTTTTTTTTGCGGGCAGCTCTGTAGTTCAATTTATTTATTATGTATATGTATATTTCAAGGCCAACAGAAATTTGATGTGTTTTAGCTTAAAGTATTTACCACCAAACACTCACCTTGTGTCAAGCTTCAGCTCTGCTAATTTGAGCCGGAGCTCGTCCTTAGACATGCGGTTGATGTGTCCGTTGGCCAAGGCGATCTCTTTGTACACCGGGTGGCTGAAGTCGCTGTTGGGCTGAGACTGGGACTCCTGAGCAGCAGATTCTTCAGCAGGACATATTCTGCTGCAGGGCTTAGCCTGAGGAGGAATAATGCTGGTTAGTATACGTCACAGAACGAAGTGATGCCACACACTTAGCAAAACGTAACACGTAGAACATTAAGCAACGATTCTTTACTGAGAGATAACAGTTAAGGCCAGCACGGTGTCACTTCACATTATCTGGGCCTGCACAACAGTCAGTGTCTCTGAGCTTTGATGAGGTGTTTTGAGATCTGATCATGAAGGCCATAAGTCATCCTGATTCTCCTCTGTGTGGAAGTGTCTGCATTCATTATTTCCAACATTTGCTATCTATCAACATAAACTGAACACAACACCAAGCATTGTACCACTGGTGCGTTAACTAGAATCACTAAAAAAACAAAGAATATTTTGCATTATTACTAGGGCTAGGGAAAAAAAGCAAAACAAGTACCGTAAATAGCACATAGCAGTTAGTTTGACCTAATATAGATAACAAAGCTGCAGTCTGCACCAAACAAGCATCTTCCTTCACGTCAAGAGAAACTGATCAGCCTGTATATTTACAATAACTCCTGTACTTTACATGACTACTTTTCAAGTAATCTCTGACATATTGCCGCCTGCTGTCAAAAGAAATTTGTCATGTATAGTGCAAGTATTCACAAAAAATGAACTCGAGTATCACAACGACGGTGAAGTTTCAGAGCCTTCAGGAGAAGAAAGTGTATTTTATTTCATGAGGTTTATATATAAACATGGGCAGTCCTGTTAAGCTGCTGGTACCAGCCTGTTAAGAATCCAGAACAACACTTCCATGACATTTCTGTGGATCTTTTGTTTTTCTTTGCAGTAAAACCAATCACAAACATCTGACTACAGTTTCTTCATTAACCCTAAACTGAATCATCTGAGCAAAATCTCTTCCATCCAAATTAGCATGGAGTCTAAGTGGTTTCTTATATTTATATGACTATTCCACCCTGTTTCAATGTTAAGACAGATGCAACATTCCAAAACACATATCTCTATGTGTACATTTGTCTGAACTTTGCGCTAAACAGCGACTTTCATGAGAATACGCGTCAGAAAAGTAAACAAAGCGGTTTAGGGTTCAAGTTAACCAGAAGCTAAATCCAGCTAAGTGCTCACACCAACCTTTTCCTCTTCTCTTGCATTAGACATCTTCACATTGACGTCTTCGGCCTGAATGTTCTCCTTGTGCTCATCCATTTAATTGAAGTCAATCCAGAAAGTGCTCGTTAGTTTTTAAAAAAACAACGTAAATTCATGAAACTATCTCTCCAACGCTGCTCTGGTGGTGTTAGCTGCGGCTGCTAACGTTAGCTAACAGGCTGAACGACATTCCTGCGCGGCTCCTCGACGTTTGAAGCAGCTCAGTCCGAGGCTGGTTTAGGAGTTTAATGCTATATATGCTATATATTTGTAATAAGACGATTTAATTTAACGCCTGCCATAAACCTCCGCAAACACATTAAACTTGTCTCTGTCGTTTTTTTTATGGTGGACAGTTATGACGGCTTCCGCTTTGCGCCAAAACAACACTTTGTGCTCGTCAGCGCCCCCTGCCGCTGTGGAGGAGGAAGAAACTCACCGCCACCTACCGAGTACTGCAGTGACTGTTGATACCCTCAGTTATATATATATGAATGTAGATTTTATTTTTAAATACATCATAATAGCATGGACTAATTTGAGCCTATTCATTTGACAACATTACCAGTAAAGCCTGCTTATTATTGCTTATTTCATTTTTTCATTTTATTTTTTCTAGCATCTCCTGTTTTAAAATTTATGTGGATGAATAAAAACACAAAAATATGTATTGACATCACATTTTTGTTGTTATTTATTTTTGCGATACTGTTGCCTTACTTTGTCTTTTTAAAAAAAATTAATTTCTCTCGATTATATGCTCACACCACGCTCTTGATTTTTCTACTATATGTTGCTTATGGAAAATATTACTAATTATTATTATTGTAGCAGGTATATAAAATAAGATGTAACAATAACATATTGTACAGTATTGTTGCCCTTTAAATACCAACAATTTACTAATAAACAACAACATCATCATCATCATTATTATTATCATTATTACTACTACTACAACCATTTAAAGGGGAGAAATACTGTACAGTATCTTAGTGGTAGTGCAGAGTATCATTTCCTTTCATTTATTTCTACACTGTTAAAAGCCCATATTTGTCAACAAGTTTTTTTTAATGAAGTTTTTTTTTGCTGATTATTTTTTATCAAGGAATAATCCACAAAGGTCTAAGTACATATTGCCACATATCAGTACATTAACAGGATCAGTGATATCTGTGAAAAATAAAATAACATGGCAACTTCTATCTTTTGCAAAATATACTATAAATGTGTGTAATGTATAGATTGTGTGTAATTAATCAAACTACATGTACATAAATAATACGTGAAGACAAGGTACATGACATATATATGACAATTTTCTTAACATTTACTTTGAATTGGACAGTGGTTGTAATTTGGAGGCACTGCTCACATCTGACAGCTAGGTGTCCCTCTTCTCTCTGTTTTATTCCATGTGCCCTTTATGCGGTACAGTAGACCTGTACATGTGCTGAGCAGATGCAGATGTTGAACCTGACCTGGTGTGTGGGGGCGAGCCAAGTCTTCCTGAGGCACATAAAATGTGGCAGTAACAGAGCAGTGCAAGGCAGAGAGAGGGAGGCAAGAAAAGGAGCAAAGAAACAACATCTGAATAATGAATATGAGGCCGGCAGAAGTGGATGAAAATTTAAAATGTCCATCACTGTAGCTGACATGGTTCTGGGTGGGAGAGTGTCAGATGGCTGCCTCGCTCAGACCATTAAATCAAAATGTCTTCTTCATGAAGCGCAGTCAGACCCTGCTGACTTTAATCTTAAGTTTCAAGATTCCTGCCAATCTTCTGCAGTTACTGTGAACTTAATGTGATTTTTATGGCACATTATACCAGAAGTGGACCGAATGAAAAATGTAGATCATAAAAACTGTGGACTGGGGAGCAGCCACACATTCAAACAGAAGTCCCAAGTGAAAGTAATGCAGGCATGTCAGACATTTTCTTTTAAGTTCAAGAAAGAATGCATTTATTGGTGAATGTTTCTCTGTACCAGAGCAACAAGCTGCACAGCTGCTGTCTGTCAAAGTCATTTGCACCCAGTTTATGTATGAATTCCTTATGATGCTGGCAGGGTGGTTTGATCTCCACAGATGAGGCCTGTCCTCGTGGAGCATGTTGTGTATTATGGATGAGATGGTAGCACCTCTTAGAAAAAACAAAGATTTATTTTTTCATTTGAAAAAAAGAAAAAGGTTATGGAAAATCCATAACCAGAAACTAATGCACATCAAAGAGACAGAGATTTTAAAATATACAATATGGACTTACAGCTTTCTCCTGACAGAAGTAATGTTTGAGCCAATTTTGAAAAAAAAAAAAAAAGAAAAGATCAAAGACTAATAGTGGTAAGAAATCAAAAAAGAAAAAAGCTAAGCTTCCTTAAAAATCTCCATATTTGGCTTGTTTTTTCTTGAAGACACACAGTCACACAGGAGAAGAAACAAGCTGCATTGAAAAGGCATCAGTCCCGTTTCACCCCCTCATCGTCACAGTGATCCGGGTCAGGGAGCACGGAGCTACATTGTTCAGTTCCCTCGGTCCAGTCTGTGATGCTGTGTTCAGGCCACGTGGGATAAACAGCCGCTACCATAGAGATGTTACCACTTGTGGTAACTTTAAGGGGGTAAATGCTGCTTGTGAACATGGCAGTAGGTATTTGAGTATTTTAGTGCAAGAACAGACACACCTGTTTCAAGTAAAACAACCAAAACAGAACAATCTCATTACAATTCATGAGGCTTCAAATCTCACGGCAGGGCAGGACATTTCTGAGCTCATTTCAGACGTCATCTCAAATGAGTCACTTCCAAACATTAAAAAGGTGAATCAATTAAAAGGTGCGACTGTAATCGGTATCTGTTGGCTTTAAAGTATGTTTGAACAGGTAAGAAACGCTGCTGTTATTCCCACCGGCCATGAACGCAGCACAACATCAAAGGCTTTCGCGCTGAAGTTAATTTGTTCTCTCATTAAAAGGCAGTTCAACGAAATCAGGATCTTTACGTCAAACAAGCTCACATTTAAAACTTTCTCCAACATCCTCTGCTTCTCTTATTCCTTTCAAAGGTAGCAGCCGGTTTCCTTCCTCAAGGTTCACGTACACGCTAGCTGGTCGATGCTAAAGCTGAGCGAAGAGAGTGAAGCACGTCGACTTGCAAACCACATGTTCACCTTAAATATCTTTGAGAAGCAGAAAACTTGAACAGATTTCACACAACAAAAAAAACCCCCAAAAGTATCAAATTTAACAAGACAAGAGGCAGTTCAGAAGCTTTCCTGGAAAGGAGCAGGTTGGACAATTTGGGAAATCTTTTTTTGTCCATTTAACACAAAGCAAACAACTAGCTGGCGGTTAGCTTAGCTTAGCTTCATGACTGGAAGCCTTATGACAAAATCCACCTCTAATGCTCAAAACCTGCACATTTGTTTAATTCGCACAACAACTAAAGCACAAAAACAACACGCTGTGGTTGATTGAGGCTGTTGGTGTCAGACAGGTAGAAATAGTCCCTCTTGTAACACTGAAAAACCACAAAATGTAGTTTTTATGCTTTGTTTTTGTACAGATTAAACCAATGAAATGCAGAGAGAAGGAGTGAAACCATATGAAACAGTATGTGATGTGTCGCTTCACATGTCCAGATAAGATCGACAGATATAAACTGTATGGGTGAGAGTTCATCCACCTTTACATATAGTCATGTGTACTTCATGAACACGCCTCGTTTTACCATGAGGATCAGTAAAACAATTATTGAATCAGAGTTACAGAAGCTACCCTCAAAGTGACGTATAACCTTAGTGAGCTTTAGAGTAACGTTTTGTAATCTCTGGTGCGAAGTTAGTCATTCCCCCTACTTCTAGCGTTTAAGCTAAGCTAACCATCGCCACACTCTAGCTTCATATTTCGCAGGCAGACATGAAAGTGTTGATTTCCCAAAAAGCCAAACTCCTTTATGAAACACGGTACAGACACACGTAAGCAGGCGCACATGAATACACAGAATTACACATTCAAACATATTAAAACAACATGTGTTCTAGGCTTCAAAATGTGTTTCTGAAAGAGACATTGACAGGAAAAAACATCACATAAATACAGAACACAGTAAAGTACTGACAGTACAAATCAACCTTCAGGTGGATGTTGTGTTTGTCACAGCTGGCTGGTGTACAAGGAGGCAAACTGTGTTCCGTTGCTGGCCACATGACAGCCAGTGAGTGTTTAGAGGTGAGAGGCGGCGCTATATCTGATACACTTCCCTTTAAGGATAGGAAACACCAATTGTATCTCCACGTCCTGATATGAGACCACTTGTTTATATTAGTGTGTGTTGTTGGGAATCTCCTGGAATCTGATCCAAGCTGATTGATCTTTTATCGGTCTGACAAATCTCGGTGTAGTGACTCACAGCTATGGCAGCGTTGTGCCACGTTTGAATGTTTGCACCTTCAGAGAGGCTTGTTTGTTCAGTTGTGTTCATTGATACCAGCTCATATCTGTGCGTTGTTAATGTGGAGGTGCATTCTGGGTAAAGCTCTCCACACATTTGCGTGGAACGTCTTTAGATGTGTTAAGCTCGGGGTCATAAATCAAGTCAGCGTGGAGCCCAGAATGGTTTGGGAGCAGGGCTGGTGTAAGGCTACATGTAAACTCCGCCCTGTTTTCTGCGTTGCCATGACAACACGTGACCCAGGGTTTGGACAAAGTTTTCTGGTCTCATTCGTCCTCCTGTCTCAATGTGAGAGGAGCAATCGTTCCAAAGCGCACTGCAAATGTTCCCAGTTCTTCCACAGCAGCGCCAGCAAAGACACGCCCACGCAGGTGAGCGCCAGGTGGAGGCGGCTACGCAGCAGCGGCGCGGTGAACTTGGCCGCCGTGGAAACGCACACCAGGATGACGGTGACGATGGCCAGCATGATGTTGATGCACTTTCCCAGCAGCACTTTGGCGTCTGTGTTTTCCAGCTGAACTGTCTGTTGCTGCTGCTGCTGCAGCTCGAGCTTGGACACACGAGTCTGACACGACTCCAGGACCTCCTGCACACACAGACACAAACACGAATATGGTTATTATCAGGGAAACACTGAGAGCAGTGACTCACGGGGGACGGGCAGCGAAATTGGAAGAGATATGAATTGACATCAGCTGCATTAGAAATGAACAGGATTGTGTATCACATTAGGAATGAATGGGAGCTGCTGGAGGCATCACTGTGATGTTGTTACAGGGAGATACAGCTTTATGCCATTACAGCTATGACAGTCCCACATCTGCCCTAAAATAAAAAGGCCCAACGCCCAGGAATGTAGCCCCACTCAGAAAAGATGGTTAGTCATGTTGGAGTTTCAAAGTTTCAAAAAATCAACTAATCATTCACAACTTGAGAGCAAATATACAAAAAAAACGCTCATTAAAACTTCCCTACAGTCAGAGGTGATGGCAAAATATTTACAATGACAGCAAGCAGAAAAGCAACAAACTCTCTTCTAGTAGAAGCTGCAGACGCTGAACATTTTGCACGAATGACAATTAACTGACGACTTAACTACTCATGTAAACATTTACTTTGCTGTAGGGCTGCAACTAACCATTATTATAGAACCCAGAAAATATTCACATTTGTTTCTTTAAAACAAATACACAAACCAATTAAATCAATTGTCAAAATAGTCAGCAATTCATTTGATAGTTGACAACGAAATGATAAATTGTCATAGTTCTATGGTGTAAATTTCTGAATATTTTCCAAATACTTTTCTTAAATGTTTCAAGTGATTTGATTTTGAATATTAATATAACTGTAATATAACTAAAACAGTACAAAGCTAGTCAGGTAAACACTCAAAAAAAATTACAAACACGAAGACTGAAGCTTCTAAAACTACACGAATAATGAATAAACACTCATGATAACTTAATCTGCATGACCTAAAATACCTGTTATTAGTCACAAATGCCTTTGTAGAAATGATCAGGAAATAACATTTGTAAAATAGCTCCTAACACAGGGTCATATATCACCTGTATGTCTCTGGCCCTCTCGTAGGCCTGGTACGCCACTTTCTCCTCAATACTGGCCAGTTCCTGCTTCAGGTTACTGGTCTCGTTCTGGTGGAGCTCCGTCAGGTCATTTAACTGGTCCTCCAAGCGCTCATACCTGACAGACAGAAACACCCACCAGCATGCCGAGTAGGTGGAGGCACAGCGCCAAGGAGAGAGCGAGAAAGAGAAACAATGCATAATTGAGTGTGTGTGGGCGCATAACAGTACAGCAGTTTATGTAGTGCGGCAACTACGCTGCTGAAAACATTTGCCCTTGGTTGACTTAGCAACAGTCTGGGGGTTTGTGTGTGAGCTCTGATACCTATTTATAGTTCACAAAGGCCTATAATAACAACAGCCCCCTACTGTAAACTGTCAAAAGCTCTTTAAAGTTCAACAGCTCATCTACAAACACAATTCATCTTCACTGGAATCATGTTTTGGAAACTGAAGCACCTGCAGCAGAATATGATTAGTTTTTTAAATAATGAAATATTTGTCAGAAATATATCATGTGCCTCAAACTTTCTAGCGTGTGAACAATATTTACTCTTTATTTGAAAGACTTTTTATGCCTGAGGATGTTGAAGTTTTCACCAGAGCCATAATTTTACTGTCATTATAGGTTGATTGTTTTCTAAAATTAATCAATACTCATTTATCCTGTGTGTCAGAAGATGGTGAAAGATGTCCATTCAGGTTTCCCACAGTTCACTTTACTGTCATTCACAAAGAAAGCACCAAATCTGACAGTTTTTCAAACACGAGGAAGCAAGGCTGAGGCATTTTCTTATATACTAAAATAATTACTGAAGAGATGATCAAAATAGTTGGTTTTAAGTCCTCAACTACATGTTGCAGCACCAGAATCCAGTATGTTGCATGAAAAAAGAAAAAAAAAAGAAAAAGAAAAAATATGCATAATTTGGTTTAGCAGAAATATAACAAATCATGTATAATAGCTTTTTCTCTTATCTCTTTAATTTTTGCTTTAATTTTCATTTTTTTCAAGTCGGGATACAGTGAAGTAGATCCTAACATACATACTTACAGATATCTAAAAGGGTACACTCCAGACTTTACCACTCAAAATCTATTTAGTAGTAATGGAGAATACTGCTTTTGAAGGTCTGATCGAGGGTGCCATAAGGCCCTTGAGGTCGGTTTGTGCAAACTGGGCTGCACATGTAAAATGCACATGGTTTGACTTGGAGGAGCTTCGTCAAGTCTGAGAAACACAAAGCAGTCAGGGGCATTTTTATTCAAAGATGCAGAGGAAGCAGTTTTAGGAGCCTGAGTTATACTAAGAACAAAAGTTAGGAAATGTCAGCCTTTTTGCTTCAGTTTTCCCCATTATTTATTCATCTGGGTTTCACAAATTTACAGCCGAGTTCAGTTTGTTTGTGCTTAGTTAAAGGTTAAAAAGAAGAAAAATCTAAATCAAATCAAGCTTATTTATAACATGTTTTTTTTTTTTAATCTATCTATCTATCTATCTATCTATCTATCTATCTATCTATCTATCTATCTATCTATCTATCTATCTATCTATAATATTTAGACCACTAGGAGCAACAAAAAAACATCAAAAACATGCACATTTTGAGATTTTTCCTAAAAACATTAATGGAGGAGGAGCATTTGATTAAAAGAGTCACTACAGTCTAAAATGTTTTCTTAACTCTTGGTTGTGTTTGTTTCAGGAACAGTTAAGATGCTGATCATGAACTGTTGTGTGAATCCGGTTCTAGTCCAGCTCAGGGCTTTTTGTGAACATCTCTCTTTCTAATGATTTCCTGTTTTCTCTTTACTCAAACACTAAAACGCCAATACAATGTTCACCATGTTTTAATTTTGGAAGTAAAGGCTCAGGAAAGAGAAGACACTCTGGAGTAATGGATGCTAAGAAAGACTGATAGCTCTGATTGACTATTGATGGGAAGAGGTGGGATCAATAGAACCACTGACTGGACACTGATTAACACACACATGTAACTATATGTGTGTGTGTGTGTGTGTGTGTGTGTGTGTGTTTATGAGACATGCATTGCCAGGGTAGGGGATCAGATTCCCAACATGGCTACGCTGCAAAGCCTCCTGGAAACAACACAATATATTCTGTTGCCTAGTGAACAGAAATCGGCCAAAACCCAGAGTATCTGTCTAAAGTCAGCTTGGTTAAAAACACTGCATTATTAAGTGTCATTGTCAGTTTCAATTTCATACAAGCTTTGACCTGTTAAAATAGAAGATAAGATAGAATATTCCATAGTACAAATTTGAGCATAAAAATGTAGCCTGACCTTAACACTGGTAAAAAGCGACATATGTGAAGCTTGATAGAAATAATGACCTGTCAGAAATTCAAGTTCAAGATGCCTGACGTGTGTGTTGTCAGCTACAGCAAAACAAAACAAAAAAAAGAGACTGAATATGTCAAAACAACAAATCAAAACAAAGCCCAACAGGAGTGTGTTTGGACAAAATCAATAACATGTCAGAAGAAAATAAATGGTTTAGTCCTACGATAAAACATTGTGACTTTCTTGAACTTCCTTCCTACAAATATGCTGTGATGATGCTCACCTGTATCTCTCCTCCTGCATCACCTGTGTGAAGTAGTTGTAGTCTCGTTTGAACTGTGTGTTCAGGGTCTCCATGTCCTCTGCCAGCTGTGCCTGAGCCTCCCTGATCTCCCGCACCATGTCCAGCACCTCCACCAGACGCCCGTTGGAGTCTGACCTTCCCGGACCTCCGGACCCAGCCCCCGACCCTCCCGCCGGGTTCCCGTTTGAGTCAGCGGACGCAGACGTTCCCGTGGAGCACTCGTCATCGCTGTGGTACTTGGTGGCCTTGGCTACTGTGGTGGCGCTGCCGCTCAGACCCCTCGCCCCGGCCTCCACCTGCAGCCCCGACCCCGACTCCATGGAGCTCTTCAGGTGGGCGATGTTGTCTGCGCTGCCAAACTTGTTCCTGATGAGGTTGGCGAACTCACGCGACTTATTGAAGAAGAACGGCGGCGAGAGCGACACGCCAGGTCCGATTGTCTTGACTTTATCCAGCGCCGGGTGTCGTCCGGTGGCGCTGACGTCCCGCAGGCTGCCCTCCTTACTGTGAGTGCCAGACTCCTTGCTGCTGCCATCTTTGTTGCTGTGCTTGCCGTTGGTCTCGCTGTCCTTCATGCGCCGGTGGTACTGCTCCAGCTTCCTCTGCAGACGAGCGATGGTGTGCGCAGACTTCTGGTTCTTCTTTTCAAACACCTGACGTATCCGTGATACCTGCTGCTTGTCGGCACTGTTCACCAGTTTCAGGTACTCAGCCACATTCTGGTCCCGAGCCGTCTGCTCCACCTTAATCTGCTCCGTCACCTAAAGGGTGCATGAAGGGACAGAAATGGATTTAAATGAGAACAACATCAAAAAATAATTTCTCGTTAATTTAGCCGACAGATTCCTAACTAGTAGTGGAGATGTTTGTACGACAACATGCTCTTTAGGCTTTTGAAAATGCTGCCTTGAAACAAATGCACCATCAGCTCTGTGAAATCCAGTAGAGGTGTCGTAATGCAAGATCCAGGCCAACCAAGGCATCTTATTTAACTGAACAGTAAAGACAAGCTAGCTGCCAAAATGTCTGCAATGTGGAAATATGCCAAAGTTAACTTTTAAAAGTAATCCACTGTGGTAGTAACAGAGCTGCTTTCAACACTACCAATCTGATACGTCACCTTGAAGTGAAGACTCTCTGAAACTCTAAGTTCACTCAGGTATCTTCGGCAAATGCTGCACAGAAGCGACACACACTGCAGGATACTTTTAAATGAGACAGAAATTTCTGCGAGACAGTAACAAGGCCAAAAAAGATTAAAGAGAGACTAATTGAATTCATCGTGCTAGATGAGCAGCCCATCACTGTGGTAGAAAATACAGGGTTTTGCCATCTTTTGGAGCTTGTGAAGCCACGTAACACTTCATTCTGTCACCACTACATTTCAGACAGTGGCCCACTGGAGCTTTACAACAAAGTCTGTGACCAAATGTGTAACAATCACGAACAGCTTGCATGCAGAAATGTGATTTTTTTCTTAATGCATTGCAGAGCTATTTATTTTTGCAACTATATAAATACAGGGTTCCTACACATTTGAAATTTCAAAATTCCATATTTTTTCCAGAAACTAATTTCCAGACTTCTCGGTAAAAAAAATTCAAATAGTGAACTTAGTTGACTTGATGTTGTCGGACTTGGTCTCATGCTGGGTTTAGCCAAAAACGCTGTGACTCTCAGTGCAGAGGATGCGGTGACAAGATGAAAGTGTTTTTCTCCTGCATATGACTCGATTTCACACAAAGTCTGCATTTAGCTTTCTTTATCCGTTCGGGATCCTTATCCAACCAGTCTTTATATTTGGGATTTATGAGCCAGTCGTCAGAGCATTTACATTTACCCATTATGAGTTCTGCCAACGACCATACAAGAAACTTTGACTCGCTCACTCACAGACTTTGAGGACATCACCTGTCTGTCGAAGCAGCAGTGAAACTTGACAACACCTGGGCGGGCCAATGGGTTGGAAGAGGATAAGAGCAGAAGGCGGGCATTCAACTTGTCAATCTACCCAAATGTTTTCTGGGACGCGTAGCCATGGATCTATTATATGAACACGTAGCCTACTGTCTGCTCTTACACAAACATTTTAGCTGCGCTGCTAAGGGCCTTAAAAACAGATCGATCCACTTCTTTTTTTAGATATTCATAATTTTATGTTTTAGAACAGTGGTAATAGTCTTGGAAACATGAATATTTTTCCATACAATAGTTTCCATTTTCCATACTTTTCCAGACCTGGAAATGTATAAAATCAAATTCCATACTTTTCCATACTTTTCCATACTTGCGTAGGAACCCTGTAAATAGGATGGGATTTGATGTACCTGAAGTGTGTATTACAGGAAAATGGTTTTGGACGGGGACTTTGTATCAGCAAATACTAAATATTAAATGACATGGATTAGATCAAGGGGAAAAAACTTGACCCAGACATCCCAGAACACGGACACATCCTGACAAGCAGACTGAAAAATGGTAATCAGAGCTGGTGTAAAAGGCTTCTCTTCGTGTTAAATGGTTCTACATCTCTTCACCAAACCACTTCATTTGAGTGTCTTTTCTTCGTCAGACCAAAGCTGCACAGTTTCATAATAACCTTCAGACTAAAAATAGAAAATGCCTGTATTTACTGTACTAGTTTTCTGCCTGTACTTGTAGCTAGCAGCCTGTATCTGACAGCTAAAAGTGATTGGTTGAAGGCTCACTTTCACAAAATGCATTTAATGCGTACCATATGCAGAAGTGGGAAAGAATCATCAGCAGATTTACACAGACACCTCAGTCATTTTAAGGTGGAGTTTTGAACTGCAAGTAGTGCTGTGGAACTGTCTTTCTATCAGTGGGTTCCTGTTTTGTTTGTTTCATGCACGTACATGCATTGTTTCCCACTATTCCACTGACCTACAGGAGAGGAAATGCAAGGAGGAGAAGACTGCTTCACTAGTTTCCAGTTTCAAATTGCTTTACGCCAAAGCAGCAGCAAAGCTTCACACTAGTTTTGCAGAATAACAGTGAGTGCAAACACAATTTTAGTTTGTGTACAAGAATTCTCCCCAGGACACTTTTAATAAGGTCAGTGTGTGCGTAAAATACAAAATCAGCAGTCCAGTCATAATGAATGAAACAATGCATATAAAGCGTCATCGAACCAAACTCGTTTCACTTCGACTAGAAGTAGTAATTCATTGTTCGTAATTTCTTCTGCATTTTTATCTTAATTTCCCACTAAATTTAGGTAAATCCTCCTAAATCTACTGTGAACAAAGTTGTCCTGATGATCAAGTTCCTGTGAAGGGATAACTTCCCTCTGAGTAACAACTCTATGACTTCTAATTGAAGGACTGTGATGAATAAATCTGAAGAGCCGTTTTGGTTGGTATCTGTGTATCATCATGATCATATCATGAAATTTAAATGAAAATGACTTTATTGTTGGATTTAAAAATGCTGCTTTAATTGCTCCACTAAGTCCCACTACACCAAGCTAAGGAGATATTTAACCTTGTGTTTTACTCAAGAGCAGTGGCGGCTGGTGAACATTTTTGGTGAGGGGGCGCAGTCTGCAAATGACCTTTTATTTTAAATCAGAAATGACAGAAATTAGAATATGAGTAACATCAGGCACAACTACTTACAGTCATGCAAATTTTCTACCTTTGGAGGAGATTCTAATCATAATATAATTTAACGTTATCAAGAATTACCAGAATTAAATTTCAAAACCATTCATCAAATTTTCATCAATATTTACAGGATCTGTACAAACTCAAAACACATCAATAATGAAAAAAACACTGCTCAGGGCCACAGATTTACTGTTTCACTGGTAGCACCAGTACGACCTACTTTCTCATTTTGTTGCATCTCCTACCTGGTCAAAGGCAGAACACATGATTTGCTGAACATTTTCTTATCGATAGACCCTATGATTTACTGATGCTCCCTAAACGCCCCACATAGCAGGCTGTGGTAGATGCTGTTGGTGGCTGTGGTGTGCTCTGACCGGTGTGTGACCAAAAATGACTTTAAAAAATAATAAACCAGGGCGTTCCAATTTGTCCTGGGTTAAACCGAGTTACATGTGTTCTACACGCGGTCTTTTCTATGAGCGGAAACACAGCGAATGTAGGTGAGCTCTGTTTTTCATGAGAAGACCTCATTTTTAATCGTAAATACTGCAGAACACTGAAGTTATAAAAGTTCTACTTTCCATCACTGTGGTCCACACAGCAGCCTCCTGTGTCGGTTACAGCGACACTAATACAGCTTCATGATCATCATGCTCACCAATTTACATTCTCAAAAAAAAGGTCGCAAATGCAGTCTGGAGCTATTTGAAAAAAAAAACTTGGCTCTTCTCTCTTTCTGCTCAGCAAACTTCTCTATTACTTTTTGGTTGAAGTCACTCATTTCTGTGGCCAGTCTTTTCTCCACTGACAGCACGGCCAATGCATTAAGCCATCATGACAGTCGCTGTCATCGAGTAGAAGAGGAGGGGGAAGGCCATGTGACGCTGTCAGAAAGTGCAGTCGTAAGAACGTCAAAGGACAGTTTTGATATCCAACCACAGAAGACAAAAGCAAATAAAGACAAAATTAATTGGCTTACAGCAAAAGTGGACGGGTCCGGGACGCACCGAGCTGCACCCTGTGAGAAAGTCTGCAGCAGCCAATCAGAGCCCAGACCAAGGTCCCATGATCACGAAAAGTTTTTCGAGCTACATACACACTCATGTGGCCGCGCCCGCATCCAGGAAGTGTAGAATTAGTAAACACGCAGTAAAGACTAATTTTACATCTCTTAATAATACAAATATTGCTAATATGGCAACAGAATGTGAACGTCATTATTAATTGTATTATTATTTTGTTATAATTAATTCAAATTTAACGTTGTGTTTGAGAACTACTTTTTATCTGCTCATTAGTAGTGGGGCGGCGCCCCTGCGCCCCGTATTGACCAGCTGCCACTGCTCCAGAGTGAGGTTAGTTCAGAGTCCCCCATGTCTCATATGTACATAACACTTTAAAGTAAATCTGCGAAGAGACAACAGAGGAGGTGAGTCATGCTTCCTCTCACCTTGAGGATCTTCTGCTGCAGGCTGTCGATCCCCAGCGCTCCCTTGGTGAAGTCCAGGCCCACGCCGTCATGTCCAACACTGTCAACCACATCCAGGTTGGACTCTGAGCCGCCACGACGAATGGGCACCGGGATGCTGAGGATGTTGACATCGCAGGCGCTGCGCTCTGCCTGTGGACATAATGATGTGACATTAAGGTTACAACTAATGACTCATTACTGACTAATATGTGTGTTATGCTTTTAACAGTCTGTCAGAAAAACAGTACATCTATTGCACAGTCTGACTCACCAATATGTTCACTTTAAAATGATATATAATTAAGAAAAGCAGCAAATCCTCCCGTTTGAAAACTTGGAACCAATGAATGTTTGGAATTATACCACAAATTCTTGATGAAAAAAGATTAACTGATTATCAGAAAATCTGATTACTTTTCTGCAGATCAATTAATCATGGTAGCTCCATGTGGTATAATTTAGATATCCAGCATTCAGGCTTTCATCTCAAGCGGAGCGGATATCAAGATGGCAACACACTGTGACATTATGATGTGAACATTTAGGCCTTATTTCCTTTGAAAAATACAGAAGATGGTAGTTTTGACAAAAACTGAAGCTAACACTTGAGGAGAAATTTCTTACAGATTTCCTGTCTGCACCTCCAATGCTTAAATTGTTTGTCTGTTGAGAGCAGGACAACAGTGTTTATACATCACAATTTTTACTATTAAAGAATGGGCAAGTCCCTCAGGAAAATCTGCAGAACCGTGTAAGACTTAACAGGAACATCCATGAGTGTGGAGGTTGGGATTGGGCCTATGTTCACCACCTTAAACTACAATGTTAATATCTGCATATAAAGTACTGCTAGTAAAGTAAAAGTATCGGACAAATTAAAGTTTTGACCTGTTCATTGTGCTAGATGTAAATGCCAGGGTTCACTAAAGTCATTACAACTCCTCTTGAGGGGAAAATGAAGAAATGTCACGAAAATAATTTATATTAATCTGCCGGTGATGCTGCAGGATCACAGAATGTATCCTGTGTTTATCAAAAACGTCACTAACGCTGACACAAACTCTCATCTCGACACATCTCTATAATGGTGTAATAGTCGTGATATTTCAGTCTGACAGGCTAATGAAACTGAAATCCATACAGCCACGGCAGAAGCACAACTGTTGAGCATTGCGATAGGTGCGATGCTGTAAAAAGCCTCATTCAACAACACCAGAGAGAGATATAAAAATGGTTCTGAATGAGATAAGCGGTACACTGACAGTAAAAACCAGTGATGCTGCACAAACACATATTTTGTAGACAGAAGACAGACTTTGTACAGACGTCAGATGCTGCAGTCTGTTAAGGCTTACAGGCAAAACTATGCACCAAAAAAACCTGCCGCGCAATCCTGTGCCAATAATACAAAATGGCAGGTGTTTTTATGCGCCCTCAAAGAAAAAGCTTCCTTTATCTTCTTTCTGTCTCTGTCTTGTCTCTGAGTAAGTACACCTACCGTCTTGGCAAGAATGAAAGAAAATAAAAGTGGAGAGCTAAAAAAGAATAATAAGAGGCTCCAAAGAGGATTGAGTGCATAGTTCCAGAGAGGATTCTTGTGTTTACAGTGGAGGAAATTAGGGGAAAAGGCAGCTGATGGGGCAGTAAATCTGTCCTAAGACTGCACAATGGTCAGTTAGTGGAGCAGTAGGGACCCTGGGGCTCCAAACAAACAGCCCCCAGCAGCACTCGTTCTAAAAATCTACTCTCTGCATTGACAAAAGCAGACGATTATGTAAGGCAACCTAAAATATTAGTATGTGGTAACTCTAGTTGCCACGGCAGCAAAGCACACACGGACAGACTTAGCTGCAAAACACACACACGCGCAAACTGCTGACAAACCCTGAGGGCGGGTTTTTATGCCTCTATTCTCTTTGTCTTTCTCTTACACATACACGAGAAGAATAGATGACACTTTAATTGCGTCCTGTGGCTTGCAGTCGTACAGCCTGCGATGCATCCTGGAGAGTCAGCAGTCATCACCCCTCGCAGTAAGTAGCAGTCCTACTGTAGCAAACTGTAACTCACATTATCATTCATGTAAATTCATTCCTACGAACACGGCTAATGTTTTTGCTGCTCCTGAGTACAGATGGCAAACACCCTCAGAACATAACACATGCATCGGTCCAACCAGAAGGCAAGACATGCAGCCAGAACAAACCTGTGTTGTAATAACGCTGATCAGTGCAATGGACATTAAGTAGAAGCATTGTATGTGCTATTATTAACCACTCAAATGCAAGATTTTCTTTGTTTACTCTGTATTTAACCATGACACGAGGGTCAATGACACTTGCCTCACTGAAGTCACATGTTTAAGGCATGATGGTCACGTGTTTGATTTCCAACCCCTAAAAACGTCTCTAAACTTATAAGATTACTTCCTTTTTTCATATTTTATTCTGTGTTATCAAATTTGTGTACTTTGCTGCTCAGCTGTACTGTATTTTTTTTTAGAAGAAATGCTAAAATCCTTTTATTTTTTAAATCTGTGTCCAAAGGAGATGCAAAAAAACAAGATGCTGTGTAAAAAAAAAAATCTGAACATGTGGACTGCTGATTTTAAACATCAAAGTTTAATTACAGTTTGTAGCAAATACAGCTGTCTTAAAAACTGCAGGACTTGAAATGAAAAAAAAAAAATCTCAAGTTTGTCCAGCTGCTAGAAACAGCTGTTCAGCTGCAACAGATGTCCACAAATACTGTTGTAGTAACTTCATCAGTCCAGGAAATCTGTCAGTATTTACTGTCACCTCTAGAACATATTTACATTTAGAGCATTCTGTTGCTGAAACACTTCATTACTTTAGTTTAAATGTTGTTGAAAGCATGTAATCAGAGTCCTGCTGGTGTTGAACATGATCAGTGTCTCTGCTGACAGACACTCACCTCCCGGCTGGTGTTAGCGTTTGAAAATCCTAGTTTAGCGTTAGCATGAGCCTTAACTAGTCAGCTAAACCGGACAGCTACCAGACACATTTTTGACAACTGTTTGCTGCAAAGGGCATCAACCCAATTGTCAAAGTTAGCAGACAGCAGAGAAGTAGGTTCGTTTCATGTGACCCTTATGAGCGTTCATCCACCACACCTGTAACTTTAACTCATTAAACAACAAGAGGCTCCAGTAAAACTACAATATATTTTCTGACAGTTAAACTGCATACCTTCTGTTTTGTGTATGACTGATTAATATATTTTTAATTGATTAAATTATTAACTACCAATTATGAACTAACAGCTAATCATTAAAATCACTGTATTTGTGTTAAAATCTGTCCATCATGAGTCCTTGTTATGTCAGACTCTAAAGCTACCTGGTGGAGCACTCTTTTAAAAACCCAACCTACATAATTTGTGCCTCAGAACTCAGAAGTCCAGGCATATTGCTGCATCCTCCTGAGAAGTTCTTGCCCTTTGTTCAATAACAGATAAGTCCCTTATCTATAAATACATTTACTACACATTGATTAGGATTCTCATTGCACGAGTATCTAAAGTGCTATCGTCCTTTGGCTGGAACAATTATCAACAGATAATTGATGATGAAAACTGATGAAGCCAGCTGGGCTAGCAGAAAGCAGCTAACGATCAATACACGGTCTTGCTGTGAGCCAATAGCAGTGAACGAGATATAGGACATCACTTCTTTACATGTTCATAAACAGATATCCCCCCCTCTTCCGTGCCCTCTGACACACAAACAGCCTGGTCATAAATCAGCAGTGGATTCAAGCAACACATGGCTTTCTGTGCCTCGCATTCAGCAGTCCACACACGTATCGGACATCCACTGGAAAGTGGGTCTGAGGGCGAGAGTGGGAAATTATTAACATGTGAACACACAGAGGGACCATATGTCTGAGAGGACACACGTGTCGGCTTTGCAGAGCAGATATCTGGACACGACTCGTCCTGTGACCCTGACCTGCAATGAGGGCATTTAGATTATTATACAGATGGGTGGACACAGAGCCAAGACACACAAACAACACACCAGGGTGTTTGTCCACTGGGAAATAAAAAGGGGATATACCAATATTGACCTGTCTGAAAGTGGGCTGCTCAACCTGTCTCCCTGAAATAAAAAATGTATGAATGGAAGTGAAAGTAGTGGAACACTGGCTCCAGCCAATTTCCTTTGAGAAAACTCCTACTGGCCATGAAACCTGCTGCAAGAATGCTCTAAATTAGATTTTTCACAGCAGACAACACAGACGCCAATCAAAAATGTAAAGTCCTGTTGGCTGAGTAGGTTAATTTACATAACATCTGCAGCATCTTTTGTTCAAATGTGCTCTGGAAGCTTTGATGCATACAAACACCATCTATCTATGTACACATAGAAATGTCACATGCTCTACTGCTTTTCAGGCTGATTATATCACAGAATACCACAACTCCCACAAGCAGCTACAAAAATACCTTTTAATTTGTAGATAACGAGGAAATTAATCAATGACAGCACTGGGAAGTGTTTGTCTTTCATTACACCCTATAAATGAGCATCTCACCTGAGAGAGTTTGTTGCTCATCTTTCTATTAGAAGATTGCAAAGTAAATATCTTTGACATGGGAATCTTTTGAATGAGGAAAAAGTCAACATGGGTCTAGAAGTTTTTGTTTTAAAGAAATATAAGCTATTAACTAAATTCAAGACATACCTATTATTGAGTACATGAAAGGCGCCAAACTGAAAAACACGATTACGCCACAAAATGAAAAGTCAAGGAATCAACTGAGCTGTTGCAATTCATCTTGAAGTAAACAAGAAAATCTGCACCAAATTTCATAGCAACCCAACAGTTCCTGAAATACGTTAGACAAAACAGAAAATGCCAAACTCATGGTCACACAAGAGATACAATCAGGTGATAATCTGAGCTTTAGAACTCATCCTCTGAGGACTGTGGCTGTCTGTTCTAAATTTAATGGGAATAATCTAAAGGTTACCTGATAATGAAAATAACCATCAGTCGAAGCCTAAACTATTACAGACTTAATAAGTCAACATGGAAAGGACACAACATGAGGCAGCCATGGTGTCTGAGCAGTGGTGACTGATTTGCATTGGTTTTCTGTATTCAAAATGAAAGTTGAGTGACTGG